GTGTCAAATAAATAAAATCTTAAAATAATAAAAATTAAAAATTAAAAAATTAAAAAAAAAAAAAAGGATGCTTCCAAGTTTTTGGTCTCTGCATCTGAAAGGGTGGTATTGTCGTTTTCTGCAATAGGAAAGACTGCAAGACAAGTAAATTGAAAGAACTAAATCAAGAGCTTGATTTGGGAACATATTAAATTTGAGATGCTTATTTAGACATTCCAGTGGTAATATTCAGATAGCAGTCCAGAGTTCCTGAGAAAGGTCCAGGCTGTAGGTAAAAAATTTCGAAATCTCAGCCTGCCTTTCTCTGCTCATAAGCAAAAAGGAACGTTGGAATGAGAGGGGGCCTACAGAACTTCAACCAATAAATATCAGGAAGCATAAGATTAACCAAGATAGGGGCGCCTGGGTGGCTCAGTTGATTGAGTGTCTGCCTTCGTCTTGGGCGATGATCCCAGGGTCCTGGGATCAAGCCCCACGTCGGGCCCTCTGCTCAGCAGGGAGCGTGCTTCTTCCTCTGCCTGCCACTCCCCCTGCTTGTGCTCTCTCTCTCTGTCAAAAAAATAAATAAAATCTTAAAAAAAAAAAAGATTAACCAAAATATCTAGAGATGTTGCAGTTGGCATTGCCTGACAGAGTTGGAGAGTGACCTCTCTCAGAGCCTAAATGGGATGATATATCTAAGTGTACTTTAGAGCTTCCAAGTTCCTTGGCAGATGGGCACCATCATTGAAAATGTCTACAGTGGGCAACCCTCTGGGGTGGGTCCCTTCTCTCTTCAGGAGCTTTGTAGTCTATTATTGAATAAACTTTACTATCAACTCAATAAAAAATAAAAATAAAAAAAGTCTACAGTAGTCTCCTACCCCATAGAGACTAAAGTGGGAATAATCTTATCCCCCTAAAATGGAAATGGACCAATGGCCTTTCTAGATCCCTTCCCTCACGAGGTTAGTATCACTATTAAAAACCAAATATCCTTTCCTCCCTCAGTAAATTTCCGTTTTCCTCCCTTTACTTTGGCTTACCCTTTTCCTATTCACAAAATAAAAGCTGCCATGCATATTAATGAAAACAAACGATAGGGGGAAGGGAGAAGGGACTAGGGAAAGACCATATCTAGCAATAACCAACCTTAAATTTCTTATTAAGTGTATTTTTT